GAGGGCTGCCTGCTTTTTGGCGAGATATATTTCCCGTTCTTCGACCTCCAACCTTATCGTGAAATCGTCCTTTAGATGTGGAGGGAGAATGCGGCTTTCTTGCCCTCCCACCCTGTATATAATGCTGTTCAGGTCACCCAACTCCTTTTATCTCAGAGTGATCGAACCTGCTTAATTTCTACTCTATCTGCGGTATCAAACGATGTGATGAGCACTGCACGACCAGGCAATAATTTTAGAAAGGAGGGCGTTTTATCGTCGTCCTCCTCAGTTTACATATGCATTTTCATCCTTCGCTAATCCATCTGTAGCCGGGAATAATGGATTCTCCTTTCCGTTTTGCCCTCTTCAGTAGCAGTAAGCTTTAAAAAGTGATTAAGACATCAGGTCTCCTCAAAACGCGAGAACAAAAGCCTTGCTACGAATCACAAACCGCTTCTCGTGCTCTCAAGTTGCTTGACTTTTTTCAACTCTTCGTCCATTTCGAGGTTGTCGAGAATCACAGCGACAAAAGAGGCTGAGCACAATCTGAACAGAAAATTACAGATGATAGACGAAGACAAACATGGAAGAATCTTCAAAGTTCTTAATACTCACTAGGGTGACGAACAGATGGTAAGCGACGAAATAGATGGCGACAAAGGGAACAAGCTTGTCATCGGTAGCTCGCAGTACTTCCACCACGAAATCTGTCCAGCCTTCCTGAGTGATGATTTGGAACATCGATACAAACGCCTGAAAACAGCGCTCCTCTCATTAGTATAATGAGGGGTAAAGAACTTTCGATACCTGAGGGAAAGTGTGAAAGTGGTGAAGTTTTGGCACTGCGTAGAATAATTGAAGTGATATGGCTGATGCAATAATTACAAAGGTTATCGTGAAAATCACCAAACCGCCGAGTTTCTTCCCAGGACTGAATATCTGTAAAGGACTAAAGCGTTAAGGTGCGGATATTGCCTGAGCTGTAACGCAGTTTCCAATTGAGAAATCCGATTAATCTACCTTCCACACGAAGTCTTCAAGGATCGGAGACGCTTTGATGAGCCGTAAGAGGCGGAATGCTTGGAAATAGGTGAAATAGTTCCGATCGTAGAAATATTTGATCGCATTCAGCGAACTGCCTATACACAGAATCAACTCGAATTTGAAGATCCCACGTCGGAAGAAATTTCGGAATCCATAGCATAAAACATTGATCAAGCACTCTAAGTTGAACAGCACCGTAAAGCCCACCTAAAAATAAAAGACTATCTGGTAAGATAAATACGAATTCAGCGAGAGCGTCTGTCATCTATGGTTTCACAGTCAAACAATTACTGCATTCACCTCAATAAGGTAGTAGTACCATTTCCTAACTTTGTCCGACTGGTCATGCCTATAGACGAA